CCAGCTTCCCTCCATTTGTACAGCAATGAGCCAATTACTTTTATTTCATATGTAAATGATAAATTTCTGATGTGAATTACACTCTAAAGTGGAGCAAGAAGGAATCCATTCACACATTACACAGCACAAGGCAAACACTTCCAAAATCACTCCACATGGGTTTTATTTCCAGGCTCTGCCTTGCATTCCTCCCAGCAAGGAATGAAAAGAAGTTCCAGCTGTGTGTAGCCCAGAAACCCCTCACCACACACAGATTCAGGCAGAGGCATTCTCAGCTGGTTGTCTCATCTCTGGGGTTATCACTAGCACATGTCTTATCTCACACACTGAAGCAGCTCTGTGGATCACACAGGTAACTTGTGAAATGTAACTGTTCCCTGGGCCAGTGACCTGCAGGACTCCCTGAATGTCCAGGGAGCTGTGGTACCCCATCCCTGGATGTGATCCAGGCCAGGCTGGACAGAGCTTAGAACAACATGATATAGTGAGTGGCACCCTTGCCCATGGCAGGGGGTGGGACTGGATGGTCTGTAAGGTCCCTTCTACCCCAAACCAATCTGTGATTCCATGATTCCATGACTGAAATACCTTCACTGTGCTCTGATGGTTTTAAAATCACACAAGCATATTCTGACAGCAGCAGAGAAACAAGCCATCCCACACATACTGGAATGAAGGAAAACTAATTTCCTGTACATTTATGTGTCCTTACCTTTCCTTCCCAGGTCCCCCCACATGCCCACTGCTAATTCCGTTGGAGAACACAGCTTATTCATACAATCACAGAGTCACTAGGTTGGAAAAGACTTCCAAGATCATTGAGTCTAAACTGTGACCCATCACCACCTCGTCAACTAGACCAGAGCACTAAGAGCCACATCCAATCATTCTGTGAACACCTCCAGGGATGGTGACTCCACCACCTCCACGGACAGTCCCTTCCAATTTTTAACAACTCTTTCCATGAAGAAATTCTTCCTGATGTCCTCCAACCTGAACCTTCCCAGCACACCTTGAGACTGTTTCCTCTTGTCCTGTTGCTATTCACTCTGAGTTCACCCAAGCTCCATGAATGTGGACTGAGTCAGTGGTTCCCAAGCAGAGTATGGCCCACTGGAGATCCACCTGCTCTTCCCTGACTGCAGCCATTTCTCTTCTAACTAGGAGCCATTTCATAAAACTTAGAGATGACAGGGAAAAGAAAACAAATCAAAGCAGCAGCAAGAAGCTGCTGTGTCAGGCAAGTTGAAATGTCTCTTTGCCAAGAGAAAGGGTGGAATTTTCAGCCAAGGCTGAGGGAACTGATGGGTCAGGAACCACAGAGTTGTTTTAAACAAATCCTAGTGTAATCCATAATGGTGTTGCTTGTTTTGCCTGTGCATGATGGGACAGGTGTGTGTGCATGTGGGGAAAGACTGCTCAGCTCCTCAGCCAAGTATTTCCCTTAGTAAAGAACACCTTAAAATATCCCAGCGTGGGTACTCTCCCACTGGGAAGCAGCACTTGGCACTGCTCTCTCCAACACTTTGCTGAGCTGGAACTTCTCCAGGCCTCTCCTCACATGTATGAAGAGAACTGAGTGCTTCTAAGTATTCCAACCTGCTTAAGCTGCTATTCCCCACTTGGTATGTGGCTCTACACACTTTGCAGACTCAAGAATGCAAAGAAAGATAAGTAATTTATGATAACTATTCAGTCTGAGGCCAAACTGCAAGAAGTGGCTGGAGCAGCATTACAAAGAAGTAACTAAACAAGGTTTACCACTTTGATATCACATTCCCTTAGGTGAGAGGCAACAACTTGATGTATATTTAACATTACTCATCTCAACAGCTTATCTCCATCATTACTCATCTCGATAATTGAGAGGAAGGAAGGTTTATATAAATAGCTACTTGAAGAACATTATAATTTAGAGCTTATTCCTTAATTGAGCTGATAGCCAACACTTTGAGGAACAGCCCAGCTTCCTTGGGGCAGCACACACAGCCGATACTGTGCATGGAATCCTAGCATCAAGGTTGGAGGCAAACTCTAAGATCACCAAGTCCCACCATTAACCTGTCACTTCTGTAAGCACACAGACTAAACGAACACTGTGCCACGTCACCTGTGTGTGTGACAGAGGGGGCTAACCCCCCTGAGCGGGCTGTCAGCCCCTCCTGGCCATGCAAAGTGCTGAGCAGGCGTCTCCCCAGGCACAGCCAGGCCTGCAGAGCTCGTCTGACCCGCAGGAGATTAATGGCTTTAGCAAACAATGTGGTAACCATGCGAGCTCGGAGCTGCCGGGAGCATGTCTGCAGCCTCCAGCCCCACACGCTGCTATCGGCACCTCGTTGCCAGGACACACACGTTGCCCAGGAACATCAGGGAAGGAGGTTGGAGTGACCACCAGTGAACTCCAGCAAAGGCCATCCCGAGCACTCCACACCTCAGGGTT